GGTTTCTCAAATTTCGCAACCCATTCCTGAAATTATGCAATTATAAATCCCAAAAGGGAACTAGTGTGGGAGTTTCAGTTCCAATGTGTATTCTTGTGGCCATTGGGCTCTTCTGGTAAGGCAATTTACTGTGTATTCGATTTACATCCAGGACAGTGTGGGCCAGCTCAAGGGTGGGTGGCATAAGATATAACCCTTTTGCAGAAAAAAGGGTGCAAGTAGAAGATATCTCATTTTTACAAAACAAAAATTTACTAAAAAGATTGTGACCTTATTATTAGTTGATTCTTGCAGCCTCCTTAATGCTTCGGATTCACCACCTTTAAATAGAGGTGGGTCCGGGTCCTCCTACAAGATAATGATTCTTGTAAGATGAAAAGACTAAAATGGGTCTGTTAATAGGTAGGCTAATTGCTAATATCCATACCTCTTGAAAGTGTTCATACCCAAGTTGTTCAACTGTTGGAACTTCTGAAACCTCACAATTTCCAAGATCCCCAATTGGAGGAATTGTAGCGGGTGTGGTACATAATGAAGAAATCAACCAATGAGGTTCGCCAGCGAGTTTCAGAAATGATTGGTAACTCAGTGGTGGCTTTCCTCCATTCTGTTTGTTAAATCACACCATGAGGACAAAATGGTCATTTACCCATGCACTAAATAAGAAAAAAGAAAAGGGAAATAGGCGCTTAATAATGAGAAGCACCTTTTCGATAATCTCTACAGGATTGACCAATGTATGAGTAACCGGAGAGAATACTTCTATGCCATTCTCTAAAGCGTAGTTCTGAGGATAAAATGTCTTTTTTATTCATCAAAATCGAAATAATTTCAAACTAATATGAGAATATAATAAAATATAAGGTTTGTAGAGATGAGATTAGAGAAAATGTTACCTTAACTTTAGCATCTAAAGCTTGATAATATGGTTCAGTGTCATACTCAAAGCACAACCTTTTTATGTCCCACTGCAAAAATAAAACGTATCTTAATGGACTAAAAGCACAAAATTGTTAAAATCTAGGTTCTGAATTTCAGATTTGCGAATTAATTTCTATTTGTCATGTTAAAAACAGGCATCTTATATATCATCTTGAAGCACTGAATCTCATACAAATCACAAGTAAAACCTAATTCTAACACTTTAAAAACTTGATTACATAATTACCTGCTTTAAGCAACGAATCAAAACCTCGCTAGGTTCGCCATGTAACACCAACAAGCGTGAACCGAGTTTCTTTAGACCGGAGTCCAGATCAAGTAGACTTTCGAGCAAGAACCGGATCCGGTTCAACCCTGCAAGGTTTGAACCGGGGGAGAAGGAATTCGGGTCGGGTTTCATGTAATGTGGGTCGATGACGAAAACAGGGTAGACGTGGTTAGAGTTTTTTGCAGCGTATTCAAGGGCTGGGTTGTCGTGGATCCGAAGACCCTTTCTGAACCACATCAAGGAGTTCGACCCGGATGTCATATTCGTGTTTCTATGAATAATGGGTGAAAGAGAGAAGCGGGTGAAGAAGGTGTGAGATGTGGGAAGGAGTTGCAATTGCATTTAAGAAAATGGAGGGAGAGGTGACACGACGAGGATTTTGAACCACTTTCTTTAAATTAGTTGAGAGAGTGACGTGGCCTTCAGCGGCTAACGTGCGTTATGGGATACATCCACCAATACAGAAATCCATCGATTGGTGAATGATGAAAAGAATAGGGACATATCCCGACCCAAAAAGGTGCGACCAATTTAAACCGGAGAAGAAAAAAAAGAGAGACAAGTTTACTTTAATTTAATATTTGCTATAAATAATTTTAAAACTTTCTTGTGTTGCAAAATAACCACAAAAATGGTCTATTGTGAGCTCAAGAACTAAGTATTGAACATGAACTATTTCAAAATAACTTCATGAATTACTATTAGGAATGATACTTGATAAAAGGTATTACAATTATATATTTTAGACCTGACATATATATATATATATATATATATATATATATATGAGACTTGAATGTATGGAACATGATTTGATATGGTTAAAAGTTGTTTTTTTGACCAAACAGTTATGAAGGCCATTATTAGGGATGTTGTAAACTATACAAGAGGGGTATATGGTAAAGATGATATTTGTTCCTCCTATGTGTTAAAAGTTAGACATCTAAAGCGATTTACCAAAAGTTGAACACGAAAATGAGATTGATTGCTATCTATATTTCATATTCAACATGTTGTCTGTAACAAATGGATAACTAATAAACTTACCTTATACGTCATTTGGAGCTTTAAGCTTTTTTCGGAATGGGATGTTCTTGAATGACACTTCGTCATGTGTTGTTAGGTGCAGTGAAATGTTGATTGACAGTTCATCGTCCTTTATATCAATCTATAATGAGGTTGTGTTTGATATTGGTCTAACTGAGTCGGCTCAGACCTTTTTGGCTGACTCGGTCAGCTATATGTGTTTGATAAACATTTTATGCGGGTCTGATTCGAAAATCTAAAGCTGATTTGGAAAGAAGTTGGAAATCAGCTGACTGAGAAAAAGAGAAAAGTTTCCATCGGTGCCATTTCTTCTCCCCTTTCAGCGACTCCTCTTCTCCAGCAACCAACAAGCAACATCGACCTATTTCTTCCTCTTCCAACCGCCGATCGAAGCTCATTCCTCGTCTATCAGGTACATTTTTGTTGTTCTTTTCTTCTCCAGCTGATCAAATCTCCTTGCCCTAAAACTTTCGATTTTGGCCATAGTCAACCCCAATCTTTCTGTAAAAGTTTCAATTTATGTTGTTGAGATGGATACAAGTTTCGATTTTTGTTGTTGAATATTCTTTGGCTGTTGAGAGAGATAAAAGTTCTGATTTTTGCTTCAAGTTTCAATTTTTGTTATTGTTAGCTGTTCCTCCATGTTTCCTGTTGAGAGAGATATGTATTGAACTGCTTTTGAATCAAAATTGATATTCAAAGCATTAGTCAAAGCAGTTCTTGCATATATTTTGGAAATTATTTGTGTCTTTCAGTAAAGATTAGGGGGAAATGCTCATTAGATTCCCTTTAGTGGATAAATGCTCATGGGTCTAACTGGTTCTTGGTCTTATATTATAAAAATAAAAATTATGTCTTTGAGTCAAGATTAGGAGCAAATGTCTCTTGAATTCCTTCTCATCATAAATGCTAGTATTGTATTTTTTTTTTGGTGGGTCAAACCTCTTATTGCCTCATATATTATTCCAGTTATGTCTTTGAGTTAAGATTAGAGGCAAATGGTTCTCGGATTCCCTTTAGTAGATAAAGGCTAATGTTGTTGTGCTATCTTGTCTATGTCAAACTGGTTATTGCTCTTATCTTATGGAAATTATATATTCGGGTCAAGATTTGGTCCAAATGTGCCTTGTATTCCTTTAACTGATCAATGCTTAAATTATTATTCTATTCATATTGTAAACATTCTAACAAAGTATATGTAGGTCATATTTTAACCCTATGTATAACATGTATGAGATGTGTGGCATATGTGCTCAAATGGAGTGTCGAATATACCTATCAATGCTTATATTTTAGGTTGTTGTGTTTGATATTTATCTCATAGATAGAGTTATGGATGACAATTTTTATTTGGGTTTTAAATAATTTATGTGTAATTTATATTTTGTATGACAATTTGTATGTTTTTATAATTATTCAAAACTACATCCATCACTGTATAGAGTAGAAGGGTAAAATAGTCATCTTTCATCAGTCAGCACATTCAGTCAGATGTACAATCAAACAGTATGGTTTCTTACTCACTCAGAATTTATTACCCAGACAGACATTTCTCAATCAACACTTTCTCAGTCAGCAACTATCAAACAGGACCTGAGTCTTGTGCAAGTGAGAGATTGCTAGATTATATGCACAAGAATCATATTAAAATGATATTTGCTAAAAACATATTATCTTATAGGTCACACCAATAACAAGTTGATATAAATATAAAATTTATAAGAATTTGATTTTTGATAAATAATTATAATTCTTGTAATTAATTAGAAATTATTTGTGGTTTATATCATAAGGTCTGATATACAAAGTCATGTATATTTTTTTGGACTTAAATGTTTTTTTGTCTTTTAATAAGATGCCATGGGTTTATAAAATATAAAGGTTTGGAAGAATTTTTTATAAAACTCTTTCGTTCTTTTATATAAAATCCAAGATGTGGGACAAGTTAAAAGCCAGTTTCTTTAATAAGAAAAGACAAAACTGTACAAATGGTCGTGTGGTATGTTGAAAAATATCACTATGGTCCAAAAATGTTTGGACTAGCACCAGTAGTCCAAAACTTTCATTTTGTTGCGTTTTTGGTCCAATCTTTTATGATTATTTTCAAAATGACGGATCTACCCCTGTTAACATAATTTTTTTTCTTATTTTCTGATTAAAAAAAAACAAAAAAAATAATAATCAAAATAAATCTCTCTCTCTCTCTAAAAAAAGAAAATAGATATAAAAATCTCCCCTCTCTCACGCTTAGAAAATCTGCAACAAGACCTAAACATGGTTTTTGAAGATCTGGAGTGTCGTCCCTTCTCGTTGGACATCCCTTTCACAGATCGGAGGCATCAAACTCTCCACCTCTATGCCCTAGCTTCCTTCGTCGGAGGAGACGATCTAGTATAGCCGTCAGAGGAGTCGATATAGCACCGCCGTCGAAGGAGACGATCTAGCACTAACGACCGGAAGGGGAGAGACCACCAGTGTAGATCAAGCTTCGATTAGGGTTGTCGTCTTCAGCCTCATCGTCTCCGCCACCACCAACCTCTTATTTCAAAGCCGTCGTCACCTACATAAAACCCTAATCGATATGAAGTCGCCGCCATCTAAATAGCTAGGATTTCGTTGCCATCGGTAATCTGTAACCCATGCACCTCCTCCCACCTCTATGCTAGTTAGCTTGTTATTAACATTAACAGCTTAAATTGTAGGGTGGTGGGTCTCGATTTACTCGATTTATTTGAAGATAGATTTGCAGGTGGGTCTCGATTTATCTCTCTTCTTTGCTACCAGATTACCCAAACAAGGAGACCCCCAAAATACCTAGTTCCTTCATCTGATTTTGAATGTTTATGTACTTCAAAATCGATGAACATTCATAGATAGATTGGTGATTTTGAGTTTTGAATCAGATTTTGGTTATGAATGCTAAATATTTGATGATTTAGATCAAATCAACTTTTTCTTTTGCAGGAAGTTGAAACAAGAAACAAAAACGATTTTCGGTTTCTGATTTTTTTTATAGTGGTGGCATCCGGTGGTGGTGGTGGTGAGAGGTGGTGATGGTAGCTGTAGGTGGTGGTTAAAGAAGGAAGTGGTGGACGGTAGTGATTTAGATAGTTGAAGCAGATGAAGACGAGCACATCTGTTGTTTCCAATGGAGAGAGAGATTTATTTTTACTTTTTTGTTTTAGAGAGAAATATTTATTTTTATTTTTATTTTTTTGTTTTAGAGAGAGAGATTTATTTTTATTTTTATTTTTTTGTTTTTTTTAAATCAGTAAATCAGAAAAACAAATAAGAAAAAAGAGAAAATCATATTAGCAGGGGTAGATCCGTCATTTTGAAAATAATCAGAACAGATTGGACCAAAGACGCAACAAAATGAAAGTTTTGGACCATTGGCACTAGTCCAAACCTTTTTGGACCAAAGTGACATTTTTCGACATACACCATTTGTGCAGTTTTGTCATAAGAAAACCATTTTTTAGAAGCATGGTAAGATATAATGATGAAAATAAGGTCTTAAAAGTGTTAAAACCAAAGGATAATGGTTTGGTAAAAGATTTAAGAAAGGCTTTCATTCTCCTCTTTTATTTTAAACCATTTTTTAGAAGCATGGTAAGATATAATGATGAAAATAAGGTCTTAAAAGTGTTAAAACCAAAGGATAATGGTTTGGTAAAAGATTTAAGAAAGGCTTTCATTCTCCTCTTTTATTTTAATGCTAAATGATGTGAGTTTTCTTGGATTTTCTCCCATCTCTTTTGTTTTTAAAGTTTTAAGACATAAGTAAAGATTGACTTTTGTTTTTAAATGTCGTAAGAGCTCATTTTGCAAGAAGAATGATTAGCATCCAAGCCAAATTGGTTATTATTTGTGGATTACTTTTAGAGGAATTATTTTTTGAATTTTTATCATTCACTCCATCAACTTCTAACCTTCCAAAATGATCAAGGTTTTCAAATGTAGTAACTCTTTCTTTATATGGTTGTATTAGTATTAATCTTTCTATACAAGAAATGATCATTGATGTGAATAAAATAATTTTATCTTTATACAAGATTTTAAAGTTTCTTTTGCACTTTTTAGTGTTTCTAGAAACCAAATCTTAATATATATATATATATATATATATATATATATATATATATATATCTTTCGATGCACATTTTTCACCCGGGTTCGAAAGTAAATTCACCGCCTTGGAGACAACAAAAAGGAAACAAAGTGACGTCGTCATCATCAACACTAAATGAAATCGTTGATCTCATCAACGAAATTGTCAGCATCCACATTATAATAAAGCATATGCGAAAGAGAAAAAATGATATTGCGATGAAAAATTGTGTATTGTACAATAAAATGAACAATGAAAAAACATAATTGTTAGAGGTGGAGATACATGAGACAGATATGTAGTTTTTTCTCGGCCTACATGATCACCTGATAGGAGGGGTTCTTCAAATGGTACTTAAACGGGAACGATTAGTTGCTACAAAATATGGTCGAGAGGTTTAGAATATCATGTATTTTTATGGGTGTTATTGTATGTAGCCCTCATGATTTATGAAATTCCTACATCTCCGCCCCCCTCCACCCTTCCCTTTTTTGTCATTTTGTTGTTTTTTTATTTTGTTTTTGTTTTTGTTTTGTTTTTTTTGTTGTCTTTCATTATTATTATTATTATTATTTAATTAAATTTATAATAATTATAGTAATTTAATAATAATAAAAATTCATTTTTTTTAAATCTTTATTTTACCAACTACAATAATTAAATATTCCTTATCTCGTTTGGTTTCGTGATGTGGCTCTCCGGTTATTATCTATCGTATTATTTCATAAATAGTTGATTTGATGTCACTTTAATTTTATCTTTAATAATAAAGAAATTGATTTGATGTTTTGTTTTCTTCTATTACTACGTATATATAACACGATCAATCGATCGATTGAAATCATTCAAAAAAAATTCGTATCCCATATCTTTGTCTAAGTCAACGTATCTACAACGATTGAATCATATGGCGGATTATCAGACTAATCAGGTTTGTTTGTTTTTAGATAGTTTTAGTATACTAATACGTTGACACAATTACCAAACTGAGCATGTATGTATTTTATTTGTCAGGTGTTTAGTACTCGTGAAAATCTAAAGGAGTGGGTTGACAATGTGGCACGAATTCTCGGATATGTGGTCATTACAAAAAGATCAAAAACGAAAACAAGTGGTGGCTATGTTTCAAAACAAGTGGTGACAATGTATATGGAGGGTCATGCATTTGGAAAACGGCTGACTATAGATGAACGTCGTATGGTGGAAGACATGACAGATAATGATGTCCGTCCACGTAATATTCTTTCGATCTTGAAGAGTCAAAATGAACACAATGTAAGTACAATAGACACCATTTATAATGCACTAGAAAAATATTGATCACAAATGCGTGCAGGTCAAAGCGAAATTGCAAGTTGTATTCGAAATTTTGCAATTAAAAGGATATATATATATATATATATATATATATATATATATATATATATATATATATATATATATATATGAGTATCATATAGATGATACGACAAATGAGTTGGAAGACTTGTTTTTTGTTCATCAGACATCATTGAATATATGGCGTGCATTTCCACAAGTGTTAATGATGGATGTCACGTATAAGACAAACAAGTATAACATGCATATTCTTGAAATTGTTGGTGTCACTTCAACAAACAACACATTTTCCATAGCTTTCGTGCTTATGGACGAAGAGAAATAGGCAAATTATACTTGGGCATTAAATTGTATGAGGACCACATTGGGTGGATATGATGAGCCATATGTAATCGTCACAGATAGAGAATTAGCTTTAATGGATGCATGTGAAAATGTATTTCCCGCTTCCAACCGGTTACTCTGTAGATGACACATATCTGAATGTATAAAGAAACATTGCAAACCAAGTTTAAAGTCCAAGGGTATTTGAGGATCATATAAGAAAGTATGGGCGAATCTAATTGAGTCATCAACAAGGAGATCATATTTAGAAAATTATGATCGACTTCAATCAATACTGGAAGACTGTCCAGGTATTATTACGTTATTAATAATTACTAGTCCACTAGTTTTACTGAAAGATAATGAAAAGTTCGTCATACACTGAAGTATTAATAATTACAATTTTTAATCATCATGAAACCAAACGGGATATACACCGAAGGAATATTACTTTATTAAGACACACATCAATATCTTTCGGCTCCTAAAACTTACATTTTCAATCCCTCAACTTTTATGATATATTTTCTTTGTATCTTTTACTTTTATGATACATTTTCTTTGTATCTTATGATATAAGCTTTAGGGGCTGAAAATGAAATTTCTTTAAGAAAACGTTGATTTTATGTGAGCCGAATTCATTTTACAGTGAAAGGAGCATATATAACTCTATGAATTACTTTAAATATGTCTTTTTTGTATACGTTATCAATTGTTTGTTTAGTTTTTTGTTTTCAATTATCTTAATCAAACTTGGTTGGATAAATACAAAGAAATGTTTGTATCATTATGGACAAACAGAGTTTTACACTTCGACAACCACACGAATAATAGAGTTGAAAGTCAACATGTGAGATTTAAAAACTACTTGGATTCAAATCACTCAAAGTTGCATAGATTTTTTGATTATATTGACAAGACAGTTGAATCACAATACACATCCATAAAAGGACGTCTTTGAAAAAGCAGAATCGAAGTAAAAGCATTTCCATAACATAGAAATTTTCAGAAACTTATTACGTAAAGTTTCACATCATGGTTTACAAAAATGTTGCAAGAATTAGATTGGCCCAATTTTCAAAATATAACTGAGACAAACTGTGGGTGTAAACTACGTCGTATTTGTGGGTTGGCTTGTACCCACAAAATTTTAGTTTATTACAATACATGATAGCAAATACCTTTGGAGTCAAATGATTTTTTTGGAGAAGACTTGATGTAGAGAGAGTAGTGTCGGTCACTCAATATGATGAATCAACTTTTGATGGTGAAGCAAACCTTTCAAAAAAAAGCTACAATAAACAGTCAAATGATGTGAAGACTAATTATCTTGAAAAAAATGATGAATATATGGAAGTCATCACCTTCTATGGCTTCAGAGCTTGTTGTTCATACAAATACCCATATACGTCCATGTGCGAGTACAAAACCATCAAAGCAAAACCTCCGGTTCGGCCAACTCAATATCCATCAACTCAAGATCCTCATAGAGGTAATTTTTCTTCGTATACAACAGATTATATGGGGTCTAAAATGTTTGATTTAAACCAACAACCGAAACCGGAGAGACACAACACATATTCGTTTGGAGAATCTTCAATGTTCAACCAAGAACCAACATATCAAAGATCCTACTTCGAACATGCACTTATGAATGAAATTCCAAGTGAATTTCAACCATACAAAATGTGGAAAAGTGAATTTCAACCATACAAAATGTGTCACACATACAAAATGTGGAAGGAGATGGACACTGTGGATTCCGAGTAATAGTTGTTGTTCTTGGTTTTAGTGAAGACTATCGGTATCAAATTCGGACAGACTTATACGGAGAGTTATTGATGCACATTGATGATTATAGAGTGGTTTTTGAAAATTACATAAACGTCATTAGTGAAGCGTTGAATTTCTATGAAACACCTGTGATTCGAAAACATTTGATGATTATGTCTGGTATTTTAATTGCTAATAAGTATGGTGTTATTGTTCATTTCTTAAGCAAAGACGAATCTTCAACGTCTTTCCCACTTTGGAGTGGTCCACAAGATTTCTCAAATCATCCAATTATAAATATCATCCTCTTTAACGGTTGTCATTATATTAAGGTTGATTTACAAGAGGGTCATCCAATGGCTATTGTTTCTTGGTTATGGAACATGCACAAATCAACACGTTCTACTAGATGGCAAACATAGCTCGATTGTCTGCTTACGTTCGACCATATAGACAATTCAATAATCGTCGTACCGAAAGAGTGAACGTATCATATAATTAATGAAATGTAAATTTCAATTTGTTTAATAATAACATTGTATGTTTAGGTTGTATCACACTCGATTGTAGTTATTATTATTGTCATTATTTTTAAATCAATTAATTAATTAATAATAGTAATAAAATAATTATTATTATAATTATAATAATAAATGTAAAAAAACAAAAAGTAAGAAAAGACAAAGAGGGGGTAGAAGAGAGAATTTGGGGGTACATACAAAAAACCTCATTTTTTATATTATCGTGAAGTTTTTTTATTATCTTGTATTTTTTGTTTTTTTTCTTTTAATTATGGTGTATTTTTTTATTTGTACTAGCTTTTTTTTAATAAAAAAGTGTTATTTTTTATTTAATTTTATATTTCTAATTTAATTAATTTAAAAATAATGATGTGGAAA